GTAGATGTCACTGGATCTCACACAATGCACTTTTAACCTGCTTTAGTTCAAAAGTGGGTCAAATAAGTTAAATATAGTGCCAAGTGCCCAACATCTTCTCTTTTGTTGGAGCCAGTCTGCTTTCTGTCTATGGAGCGTATAAACAGGATATCTTATTCTATTCAGTACTCCCATGAATACTGTAGTGATGGTTTTCAATGACACATTGTCTGTGGTACCAACAGCTGCCTTTGTCTTCCATTTCCTCATTCAGTCTTGTCAAACCCCTTTGCAGTTTTTTTTTCTCACCTGGGCACTATGTCCAGTGGCGAGGCCGAGGCCGCTGTGACCTTGGGTTTCTGACAGTTGGCGGTTGCATGGGCGTACTTTAAGGCGGATGTTGACATGGTGGTGCTTAGCGTCCGGGGGGTGTGGGTGCGCTTGCCGGTGGGAACACCCAGACGAAGGTTGCTGTTGTTTCCCAGCAGGACCTGAGTGGTGGTGGTGTTAGAGGTGTTCGCAGGGTGAGTGGTGCCGTTGTTGTTACTGGTAGCGGATGTGGTGCAGGGGTAGAGCAAGGTGGATATTGGGGTAGTGGTCGGAGGAGCCGGGGCAGCGAGGGATGAGGACACTGTGCTCGGGATGTGCAAGCCCTTGCAGACACCTAAGGGTTCAAATGAGGTGGGGGGTGAGAGGGAGGTGGGGGTGGTTGACAGGGGTGGAATTTGGAGATAGAAATTTTTAATTATAAACTGTTCTTCAGAGTATACTGTTATCTATGTTGGAAACTGGCACTGAATATTACCATTCAAGTATAAACACAGCTTAAAGCAGCTTAATGTTCAGAGGGTGAATGAATGTAATCCTTTATAATCAGCAGAGAACGTGTGTGTGAGGTTCAGAGGTTTTCCTATCAAACCACCTCAATGCATACCCTAACTTTAAAACCTGGATAACATGCACCACTAATCTACTACGAGACCACAAGTCTCATAGTAGTAATGGATTTATTCCTTTTCACCTGAATCACAAAGGAAGTTTGTGCTAGAACAAAAACCTTCTGCACTGATCATCTGACTTGTAGTATTCAGTATTTGCATCTGTAAAGACCAGACCCTGGGTGCACCAGTTTCATCTGCAGAACAATCTCAAATGAAAGCTCCATCGTGACTTATCTCCTAAGCCTGCTGCCTGAGATGGTTGTGGCTGTTGGGTTAGTGTTGCAGGTTTTATTCTGTCTGCTTTGTGCTGCTCTCAGCACAGCCCATTATCAGTTTCAGACAGTAATTACTTTACCCTCATTGTTTGCTTTGTCTGTTTAATGTCACTGTATTGCTACAACCGGGTGAAGTGCACTTTAAAAATCTGAAGGGCTTTTAGTTTTTCTTGTTAATGTAAAACTGCTATTGTATTAGTTTTCAGAATTCATTTAGGACAAACAATTAAAAAAACATGCTACAAATAAAGCATGTTTATTACTGTGCACAATTAAAATGGAAACCAAATTCTCAAATTGCAGTCAAGACAAAATGAATTTTGTTGAAAATAATTACACCGCTTTCTAAAGGCTCATGTCTGCTGACTCAGCCTACTAGGCCTGTCAGTGGTCATCATACCTGAGGAGGAGAGGATGCCATTGACTCCGCCTCCCAGGGCTAGCTCATCCTTGGTTTTTAGAGCCAGCAGTTGGTCGGCGGTGACGAGGGCCGAGGCGGCAAAGTGAGCGCTGACCTGGTCCAATGTGTTCGCCAGGCCCTGTTAGGACAGAAGAATGGTTTCAGTCACTGATGAGAGGTGGAGGATGAAAACCTAAAGAGCAAACAGAGCAACCTGACAAAGTGTAGTGTCTGCTGTGGGCTCAAAAGCCAGGATACTGACCTGTGTGCTGTTGGCAGTGGCAGTGCTGTTGGTTTGCTGTTGCAGCTGGAGCTGCTCCAGCTGCTGTTTCTGCATCAGGGTCAGCTGCTCCTGATGCTGCTGGTACTGTTCAGCTGTCAAAACTGAAAGGGACAGAAGTTTGATTCTTACAAATCTGGAAATTAGAAAGACATTTGAAACTGTCCCAGTTGTAAAGCAATAATGCTACTGCTCAGGATGCGCTTGTGCTGAATGAACAAGTCATGTCTGGTCTAGTTTTGGAAGCTCAATAACTTTTCTCTTAAAAAACACTGGGGTGTTTGACCAGGTCAGGATGAGGATCGTGAAGGACGTCATATATTTGATGTTTCATTACCATCTTACATTCAGTAACATTCTGTCTCTGGCTTTAACGCTTCCTGGAAGAAACAGGTTTATGAATCATGTTCATCCAGTCCAGAGACTTGGGGCACAAAACCCGCTGGGTCACACCAGGAAAACGCAGCAGGACGCTGCACGAAACAGGATGATTTAACGTGAAATGCTGTGGATGTAGATGTAATGTAACAGTAATGTTCCTTTAAGTCATATCTTTTGTGTTGCTATCAGTCGGGTTCAGGATTAATATGGGCAGTCAACCATAAATCATCTCTATATGTTCACTGCAGAGATCTCACTGTTTTAATGTTATGACGATTCAACGTGACCCCGATTAAAATACTGTTTTTTACAAACTTCATGACAGATGCGAACAACACGTGTAACCATGGTAATTGTACACAAACAGGATGAAGATAGTCTACAGTAAATATTAAAATAATTAACATGTTTAAAAATTATGAAAACTAGACAGTTTTTGACAAAAAAAAAAATTTAAGACTAGAATTTGGCAAACTAATGCATTTTTGTCAAAAGATGGAAAAAAAAAAAATCTAATTCCAGTGTCAGAATTAACACTTATTACAGCTATTCAGTCAACACCTGTTACCTCTTGCAATCTGGCAAATTTGGTATCTTATACTAAAACATCCATCAAGTCTTGGTAAGATTAACTTCACAAACAAATCTCATCACTATTGCATGAAGCTGTTTGAATGCACCGTTTTCCCTCTTTACCTTCTCTATAAAATAACACTCGGGTCCCCAGGAATTAGAAATATGAACATGAATGTGTTCAATCTCATTTTGGGGAATCTCCCCACACTTCAAGTCAAGAGTCTGTGGTCTGCCGTTTCTGTTAAATGCAGTTCAGCACTGCTCTGACAATGAACCGCTGAGTGTGCTTCAAAGAGATGGTGAGAGGTGCATTTTGTCAAACTTAACCACAAGTTCTAACTACACACCTAATTGTGACATTGCAAATGCAACATGGCGACAAGGCAACTTCATATGGCTTTAAGTTAATATTCCGGCCTTGGTTCAAAAATATCATGATGGGTAGGACAGAAATCTGATTACTGAGCAGCAGGTAAGCACATTTGTTCGACTGTAACCATGTTACTCCAATAAACCAATTCTCAAATTTACTGCTGTAACCTGATTTCTCACAGACATCAGGAGCCTTGTGTGCATTTAAGGTTTTTCCATCAACAGCCTTATTTGCATCCCAAGCACCTAGCCTGTAAACAACACGGTTTCAAGTCTCTCTTTCTTCTCTGGCTGTCTATTGATTATGCAGTCCTATTCCCACATTTCAAGGTATTATGTGACCTTGCACCTCTGTGCAGTATTGATTTGCTTATTCCATGTAGCCTTTCAGCTCTCTTCAGCTCTCTTCTTCACAGGATCCAGTATTCCTTATTGCACTGTGCATCTCAAAGTCACAGCTCTTCCTCTGGTATCACCTTGTTCGGGAACACACTTCATGCAGTCATGACCCCGCCTCAATTAATCAAAACACTGCACTGCCTTCAACCTACCTTTACACCTACTTCTGTAGACTTGACTACTAGTCCAGTTACTCTGCACAGAAAACCTTGCCCCCTTTAGTTTCTTGAAGCTACTTTGTAAGCCAATCAGTTTTTCCCCAGAATAACTCAATAGGTGGTTTGTTTTCATGCAGGTCAAAATGCACACAACCCTTGTAAGCTGCTTGTATCAACATGAAGACACCCTCTACCTGGCTGCCCTCACAGTTGGACCACCAGGGACCCTGTGGCTTTAAGTCTGTATTCCACACACCCAAACAAATCCTGTGCATCTTGTTAATTAATCCATCAAACTCTGTTTTAATTGACACCTTGTGGACTGGGTGGGGTGGAAGATGACACTGCTTGAATACCAAGCAACAACAAAACTTTTACAATGCATGTCGAGGACACAGCGGACACTGGTCCTTCAATTAAAACAATCCCAGCATACAAAGGGAAATAACCCTGCCAAGCAATTACAAAAAAAGAAAGTAAGTAGTGATTGGACAGTCTAAGTGCCTCTCTCACAGCTACAGTATGCAACTTTTTTCAAATATTTTTGTTCTAGAAATCTGATGCATTTTCATTTAGTGTAATTTCATAATGACAAATATCTGAAGAGTGTGGCAGAGGATAGCGAGGATGCGCAGGGCGGAGCAGAGTGGAGATTAGGAGTTTCATGTTAGTGCTACCTTAAGTTACATACTGTAGCTTTAACTAATGTACTTCTTAAAGGGCTCATCCAAATTATAAAAGATATAAAGATGAATTCTAAAGATATACAAATATTTCTCTACTTTGCTTGAGTAGTACCTAGTCAGTTAAGTTATTCTAAAGTTCGGGCAAATCAAGAGGTAATGAAATTCAAGTTAAGTTGCTGGTACTCGAGAAATATATTTCAGTAACAAAAGAGCAATTAACCTTTCCATTATACAAAAACTTTGCAACAAACTGTTTTCAATGGGACTAAAAACAGCCATATTACAACAGATTATACAGAGTGACTAACATGTAACTAGGGTTGCCACGAATGGCAATTTTTGGACTCTGGGTATTCTGTGGTAATAATCAGCAAACATACGCTGTGTGTGTGGTGGGGATGACATTGTGCTGCAGCTAAAAGTACCTCTTTGCCCATCAGGCAGTACTTTGGGGTAAAAAAAACGAACAAAAAAAAGCCAATGTATTTTTAATCTAACAGATGAATTGATGACAGATCTTCATAACCATTTGCACATACACAGAATGTGCTACAATTCCATCATTGATGTGAGATCAACTGATATTTTTACTTGTAAAGACGTCTCACTCTGTTGGAGTTAGTGGAATGACAGAAGCACTCAGTTCGCTAATTATTTAGTGGTGTTAACAGAGTGATGGCTCTTTACCTCAATCTTCAGCTAACAGCTTGGGCAGAAAAACCAAATGTGTTTTGGAAAAATGAGGACACAAACCCTTTAAAATGGGTTCTAAAACAAAAGACAAGTGGCACTAGAGGTGGGTGTTATCCATGTACATTTGTCCTATTTTAAATAAGATGTTTTTGTAATTAAATATGTCACTTGTATTAAAACAGATATGATGCCCAGCAAACCTAAGCTGCCAGAATTGTAAAACAATTACTCCAACCATGCCTGACAGAATGTAACCACAATGTGTGTTTGAAGGTGGGTAAGCCACTTACCAGCAACGGGTGCAGGTGCAGGGACAACCCTGCCCAGGCGCTGACAGCCAAACGGCTGTCCCCCAGCTGTGGCGACAGAGACTGGGTGCTTCAGGCTGTGACTCAGTCTCCTGAACAGCGGGTGGGCGTTATCCAGTTCATGTAGTGGTAGTGTCCGTGGTCTAAAATGCCTCCATCGGCATGACTTTATATTCAACAGTATCTGACTGAGGTCCGTGGAAGAGGGAGAGGAAAGAGAGGGGTTGAACGAGGAGGAACTTCTGTCTGAGGTATTTGTTTCTGAGGTACTGGCAAACTTGTCAGCGGCCGGCGAGCGTGACATAGCAGTAGGAGTAGGAGGAGAGGGAGGGAGCGGCAGGTCGAGTACTTCTGGATCTGGTCTATGGAAAGTGCCGTCATAGTCCGTGCACGCCCTGTCCAGCAAAACCCTGAGAGAGGAGATGAAAGTGAGCGCTTGAGCTTTAACACAAACATGTCAATATGATACCTAGCCTCATTTGTCCGGCATTCTTACAGCTTCCTTCTAAGGTTCATGAAATCAAAGCCTTTTCCCAAGTCTTTATACTAGTGCATCAGCTATTTATTTTCATAATCAAGTTCTCATATGGTATGATAACAGGAGATTTAACTGACCTTCCGCCTCGTCCCACACGTCGTCGAGCCATACCCAAGCAGCGCCGCGGCACTGTAAGCGTTGTGAAACTGTAGCGAAAACGAGCTTCTGCCAAACCGCCTTCCCAGGGACCACACCACGGCCAGCTACCCACACGATCCTGACGAGCCTGGAGACAGAAAGGCTGCTGAGTCGCACGCGTTTCACTGTCAAGAGTACAATGCCTCCGATAATTGCAAATCGGTGAGCAGTTGCTTTTGAGCCCGGTAAATACTGCACTAAGGAGTACACAGTAAAATCCTAAATTACTGACAAAGCTTAAATCTGCTGACTGTAAAATGCTACCCTCTACTACAAGTTGTAAATTCTAAAAACCAACAATGATTTTAGCCATGTGGCATTTAAGCAATGACAACATGAATATTTGTTCCTGTTGTAACCAGTATGCAAAGATTATTAAATAGACCCTGTGACCTTAACGTAAAGCAAGGACCTTAACCAAGTTGGAGGAAGAACATTTCCCACTACTGATGTACCTATGAGGACTTTAAGGCAGTATGCCTCCCATAACCCTACCACTAGGATTTACATGCTTTATTACAGAAAGTGTAAGCAATGGACTTCATTATAAACTTAGTGAATGACCAAACAGTTATGTTACTCACAGCATAGTACTGGCAGCCTGCCTTCCTGCGAAAGGCATAGGCACCATCTGGGTCATTCTCCTCCTCCGCTTCTGATGAGCCTGAGTGTAGCTGTGGGGACAGAGATCATTCACACGTCAGTGAAAATGCAGAATTTCTAACTCTCAAGCCAAAGGTTCTGGTTTACAAGATGCATTAATTGAGACACACAGTCTACTGTTTGTGCTCAACTTTACTTGGATGAGTGCATTCAAGTGCCCATGTACCTGGGAGAAGGGCTCGTCATCAGAGCTGGGGAAGTCATACTGGTTGAGGTCCTTGGCATTGAAGACGACAGGACCAGGGTGGTGGGGGGTGCCCGATGACAGAGGCAGCACCTTCTGCTTCTTCTCATACTTCCTTTTCTGCCGAGGAACCTCCATCTTCTCAGGCTACAAGAGGAAAGAAGAGATAAGTCAAGTCAAGAGCACCGTAAAAGCACAGTTTTAGCACAGCTTTCACAAATGATCTAGACCTGTGCCAGAGTCATGTTGCTAATAAGAGGACCTCACCTTGGACTTGTAGTCCTTGAGGTCCATGTGGTCCTGGTGTCGGTACTGGTTGGTGAGCGGGACCAGGGGAATGATCTGCGGCCTCACCAGCGCTCGTTCAGCTAGAACCTCTGCCATTACCTCACCACCAAAGTCTGACATGACGTTCCTGGAAAAGAAAAGGAAATAAATATTAGCCAAAACAGTTTTTCACCAGTCTCTGACTGATCAACACATCTAAACATTTCAAACCATGTCATTATTTGACAAAGTGGTAGGCCTTCCCCTCAAATGACTGTGCCAAACTGCACAGTACCATACAAGTGGAAAAAAGCTGCTTTAACATTTCTTTTATCTCATTTTCACACTGAGCATTTAGTTGACTTCTCCCTTTATAAACATCACCCTGCTTTATTTCTGTACTAATGCATTTTGTGGGCATGCCCAGAGGCAGACTCACCTCTTTTCAAAGATCTCTAGTGTGAGGTGCAGCAGCTCTCTCTTGCTCTTCTCCCTCCTCTTGATCATTTCCAGGATGGTGACGGCTCGGCTGAGATCCCTGCGCAGCTTCAGCATCTTCTCATAGGATGCCTCGTCATTCTTACGGTTCTGAACGATGAACAGTGGAAAAGGTATAAGAAAAGCTCTTTTAAGAAAAAAGAAAAACGCAGTATCCAGCCTGTAATAATTTGATCTAAATTTAATACATCACACATTTACATGTTTGAGCATTACACTAAAACAATACAGCAACTGTCTCCAAAAATTGTCAAATTACAGTAGTTAAATTTGCAGTAGTGACTATATTACAAGTTGATTTATGATGCTCAAATGTAGAAAGTAACACCTGACACAATTAAATGAATTAGTATTCTGAACATGTAGGACCTAACCTGGACAAAGGGCAAACAAGCTACAAACATGTTTAAAGCACGTCAAGGATAAATTCTTCAAATGACCACTTGGGGGCAGATATAGCCTTAAGAAGAGGACTGAAGAAACTACAGTTTCATGGGGTCCATGTTTGCACTGTGTTGAGCACCACAAGTAAAGTAATGAACTTGGGTAAATGTTTAAGAGGTGCAACGCTTCCATCTACACATTTCTGATCAGGGAATCAAGCCTCTTTCCTCAACAACATTAATTCGCCACCCGTATGCTGGTATTTAGAATATCCAAACTTTTTTTCTACCAAAATCTCAAAAGCAGCTGAGATGAAAATAAATTTGAAATGATTTACTGATCCCAAATATGTGCATTCAACTCATGGGTTCTAAAGCCATAAATCCTTCTGTCAGCTTCTTATTAGCGAGCAGCCTACACAACCCGACACAGAAGTCGGGTGCACCTCGCTCACAAAGCTGCGCTTGCTTTGCTGGTTGTGCAGTGAAGAGCAGTAGCCCCCAGACTAGTTTTAGGCATTGTGTGAAATACACGGGGTCTTGGAGTGCTCCTAAAGTAATACACTAAAAATGTACTGTAATCGGTGCATTTATGCTGTTGTACCAAAAGTGATCCAACACCAGAAACAGACTGCGGTTTATCGGAGTGTGAAGGATGGTAAACGCGTCGCCCACTTTGCTTTTGTTGGGAACATGGAGTCATAAAACACACACACAAAAAAAAAAAGTACCCCCATGGTTATAGCCAATGTCTGTCTTTGTTAAACTTGTTAATTTGAAGAAATTGTAACAGCAGTGCACAGTGAGGTCAGACAGACCTTTCCTGCACAGACTGATCGAGACAACTGCAGGGTATTTACCATGGCTCTCGAGCTGCTTTCCCATGTTATTGTGTGCGACAGTGTGTAAATATTGTCTGTGGATTTAAAAGGCACAATGTAACTGACACACTGCTCTTAGGATAGGCTTTTAAAAATGGAGTGCAGCTCATGCTGTGTCTTCATGCAAGAATGGGAATAATCTCATTCTCAGTTAACATTTAGTTCAGTCCTACATGCTCTTATTTAACACCTCAGTAGGCCTAGGTGTTAGTTTACACTGATACAGAACAATAAAGACAACATTATGGTAATTAGGCCTTTTTTTTTTTTTTGATCTGTAAATCTGTCTGCTGAGAAAAATTCAGGCCCTTTGGGCAAAGTCAATGTCCCCTGTTTTAATGCATTCTATTAATAAAAGCTGCAGAGACCATCACAAAGCTATGTGCTGACACACTGAGTGAAGGATGCATTCTTCTTTGTCAGTTTGTGTTGCGGCAAAATATAATCACCGTGAAAATTCATTCAAGGAGGAAGCCTGTTTAATCTGATGCAAATATTTCCTTCAACAAGGTATGAGAAGGTGTCACTTTTTGAAGCAACTAATGATATGGCAGCTTTACAACTGCTAGATCATTTATAACCTGGGTGGAGACACCTTGTTATTTATGACTAATGACCATTTATAAAAACCTACATGTGCTGACAATAAGTGGTTTTAGTTTTGACCTCCGCTCTGAATAGTTGACAATTCTGTGTGTGTGCACTTTTGCACCAAAATCAAACCAAAAGTGAACTGAACAATTAAGGGGGAGGGGAAAAAAAAAAAAAACCCACACAACTGATTTCAGTGACACTCAATCTATATGTACACAATTGGTACTGTGATCACCCATCACAGTTTAGTAGCAGTACAACTGAACCAGTGCAGAGATGGCTCTAGTAGAAACAAGCGGTCACTGGCAAGCTGCCACTAAAACAGTGAGTGAGAGACTACTGACCTTCCTGGTCTGCATCTTCTCTGTGCGCCGTCGGAAAGCCACGTAGGGGTCACTGGTGCTGGAGCCATCCCGCTTCTCCTGCTTGACAGTGGGGATGAGTGAGTTGGCCTTGCTGTTTTTCCTCTTGCGGCTCCAGTAGTCGAAGACCTCCTTGATGAGCTCATCGTCCTCCTTCAGCAGCAGTTTGGCCTCAGGGAGACTCACCAACTGACGGGTACAGAAGAGTTATATTTAGTTAAATAAGATGCATTTATACAGTGGTGACGGTGACAAATCTGTTGTGAAAGGCATTCATGCTGATGCCGTCTTACCATTAATTGGTTTCTATTGTGTGTTACCAGCTATTTAATGCAGGTGTCACTCTTTTTCAAAAGCTCATTGTGCGTTGGTCTGTAACATATTTTATAGGCTGGGGGTAGACGAAGAAATGATGCCAACCTGCTGTCCACTGCCTTTCTCCAGCCGGTCAATCATCTCCTCAAACTGTAGGAAGCTGATCTCCATCTTCTTTTTCAGCTTGTTGACAAAAGCCTCGTCGTCTGAGTCCAGGTCATAGTCAGGCTGCTCTGTGTCCAAGCTGAAAGCTGCAAGGAGGTAGATGAGAGCAACGCTACTTCAGACAAGGAGAGAGGAGGTTGAGGGCTGATAAAACACTGCAGATTTGTAACTAATGTAATAACATTTTAAATTGTTGGGAAAGTTGTGAACGGGGGAAAGGAATTTGAGTATAAAAATATTTATGGATAAAATGGATAAAATGATTTGACTAATTAAAGACTTCAGCATGAGATTATCTAAATTCTTGGAACTTAATAGGCTTCTGTGTGTTTTCTTCTTCTCCATTTCTCCTATACATGTTCCACTGGTCCTCATGTGTGAAATTTCTCTGGTACATTTATTCCAAGTAGGAATAATTGGTCGAAGCACCGATACAACTGCTTTCAGAACCAGTACTTACATCGGAGTACCGTACGAGTGCAACACCTGTTTAACAATGCAGCGCTTTTACTATAAAAAAATGCAGCACTTTAAAGACCATTCTTAATTTCGTGATTTACTTTGATTGTGAATAAATATCAGGATGCAAATTAACTTACAACTTCCTGTGATAAGCCCTTCCACCACTTCAACTAAATTTCTACAGCCTACTACACAACATACTGAAATAGTGTAGCTCAACCTTTGGAGGAGTGCAGCCCTTTATTAGGATGAAAATACCACAATCCCGCTGCCCAGAATTCTAAAAACAAAACAAAAACACAATCGGCAGTAAAAATTGTTTTTTTTTAATTAAAAAAAAGGTACATGCTGAGAACTGCAGCCTCTCAACCAGCATGAGGTTGAAACAATGTTGCCAGTAAGTGGTATGGGTACACAGTACCGATCAACTTTTTCAAGTACTAGAGGGTGGTATCGGACATCCCTAATCCAAAGTGATGTGGAATGAGTGGGTGAAAAGACAAATATTAATGAACAGTCAAAACTATGATACTGGCACAGAGGAGGAAGAACGTACATTTTTGGGCTCATGAATTTAGACGCCCATGGAAGAACAGGTGCTTTGCAACACATAAGCGTTGTGACAGCATCCCTCTCTATTGTGAGCGTGCTTGTTGCGCATGTCCAATTAAAATAATAAAATTTGAGCACGCAAAAGATGTGACATGTGAACGGCCCCTCACAGCAAACTCACAGTTGAAAGCTAGCATTAAGTTAAATTGGCCTGGTAATGACTGAGGACACTGCAGGCAGTCTTCCTCATCTAGCCAGTTTCCAACCAAGTTCACTTCAAGTCACTGCTGAGAATTCACTGTAAAATATAACAAGAATCCTAGCTTAGTTTTATTATTGGCAACGTATTGAAGCACAACAACACACTCTTCTACCCATCAAACAAGTCAGAAAATAACATTTCCATCTGCTGACTAGCATGTCATAAAATCCACAATTCACAGCCACTGTTTTGAAGATTAAAAAAAAAAAAAAGGTTCCTCTGTGTGGTGCCAGTTAATACATTTTTATGTCAGACATACACAGATGGTTGCTTAGCAATACAACCACCAAGGCCACTCAAGTGCTTTTCAGAAAAATAATTAGTTATTTAATATGCATTCAGTGTCAGTCTGTGTGCAGCCATGTACAAAGTTCATCCTCTACTCAGCAAGACTTTGTTTCATTTAATGACCAGGTTTTCAGCACTGCTAAGTATCTCATCAAAATGCAGCCTGATATGTGTGTAAATAAAGATAATTGTCCCATGAAGCACAACAAGTGTAAGTCAATGACATTTACTGCTACACTCCTGAGGCGGGATTCACACAGACATTTGTCCTGTATGAAAAACACTGCATGGGCTGCATTGTTGTTCTATGTACCAGTGAGACAATGAAATACAATCTGGGAAGTCCAGCTAAAGGAATGGATATGTTCAAATATTTTTAGATGCCAAAACACACCACAGTGGTTTGTAATGCAGTCAGGACTGTGGAGAGCTATCACAGTGGCAACTGATTCATCTGTGGTCACGACTACTGAGATAAACAGCAAAAGCACGGTGCTCATATTACAAAGCAATCGACCAGGAATGCATGTTTGCATTTAAGTGATTGGCCAGTGGAGAACCTTACTAGACACACTTCCTCTATTCAAATGAATGAGCAGGCCCGCATTTTTTTATGCAGGACAAATGAATTCAGCCATACATATAGTGACTAAACTGTACTGCTACTACACACAATGACAGAGAAATAATGGTACATTTTGTCTGCAGTAACAGAAGTTAAACCAGAGCGGGGCCTACCTGTAGACACGCACAACCTCAACTAAGGAAAACGGCTCCAACCAAAAGAACACCAGCTGCAGTGACTAGGTGGCAGACAGCTGAGAGAAACTGGATGACAGAGAATATTCAGAGCAATTTTATGATGCACTAGGGGATGAATGCCCTTAGACTGGTGAGGGAGTGTGAAGGGACCGCCATAATTCTTGCAGAATGCAAAAACTAGCCACACATTAACCTAAGATTTCACCTGAAAGGCCACAGAGCTAAAGAAACCTTAAAATGCAACAGCAGGAGAAAGGAGAGGCCAATACAGTCAGCCACATTATTATAGCCCCAGCTAAAACACCTAGTTGCGACAGATGTGCAATAAAGATCGACCAGTTCAAACAAGCTGAAATGCCAAGTGAGATAGCCTAGTTGTAGCCTCAGATACATCTTTGTTCATGTAAATGTGCTGTACATCATCTCTGCATGAGCTAAAAGAGCACTGCTTTAAGAGTACAGCCCATCCAGGATCTGCTGGACATGAAGGTGAGGAATGCACTACATGATTATCAGGAGACTTAACTGGAGACTATTAGTGATTCAAGAGACAGAACACAACTATTCACTCACTACACTTTAGGTATTTCAGTCTTCTACTTTGTCTCCGACCTCTGACCAGTGAGACAGCTACAGTATATTTAAATACATTGATGTGACTACACTGCAGAACAAACTCACACCCACTGGTATTTTTGTTTCAATTCAGCAGCAATGTGTCACATGGCATGAACACTGCCACATCTGCCAAAGTCAAATTAAACCGGCTATTCAAGCACACACAGCTACTGTACCTATAGAGCAAACAATGCACAGGTGGGAGTATTGTAAGTCAGTGTGTTAATTCAGTTAACCCCAGTTTCAATTTAGTTAAAGCAAATTCACCTTCTCATTTTATGCTGCTTTCAGTGTGATGGAGTAGAGTGGATGGAATCTACAGTTAACATACACTGGGGCATTTATATACAGGAATTTCACCATTTTAATTCACTTTTACTATCTGAAGATTTATTGAGATGGTTTTCAATCATATCTATTGGCACCATGTGAAATCAGAGTAGATAAGTAAGCAAATGGCTGATACTAATGGAAACAGACATACTATATTTGTAGAACCTTGGATATTTTTGTGCAAAAACTGTGTGTAGAAATGATTTTTTTTTTTTACATTTCATTCTACACCTCTGAGGAAACCCTGAAATCAGTCTGAAGGCAGTTTGACAGGGCAAAACATTTGTCATTTCAGCTTTCAACTGATAAGTGCCCACTTTACTTTGAGAAGCAGTCGTGGCAACCACTTGTGACAGACAGATTTACTGAACTCATCAATCTAGCAAACTCATTTCTTTGATATCGTTAGTGAACTAGGCAATCTCTCAAACTCATTTGCTTTGACATACATAAGACAACTCAGTACAAGCTCAGGAAGCACATGCCTGATGCCATTAAATGGATCAACAACTGTCAGAAACAACAGAACCGCTTCTCCACCAGTGGTCTTGAGTCACTGAAGAGAATCAGCATTTCTTAACTTTTTTTTGCTTCATTTAATGTGTCAGTTTTAATGCATCACATATTTAGATGTCACTTCAGGTTACCCTTTTGCTCAGTCAGGACAGTTCTGAACAGGAACTTATTACTCAGCTTTATATACCAAAAGGTAATATGAGCCAAAAAACAAGACAAAGGCTAAAATGATGATTTACAAATAAGTGCCTCATAAAAAAAACAAAACACAATAATCTGAAATAGTCTGCACACTGTTGCTTACAATTTCGAGCAACATCCCCATAGTGTCTAACACATTCAAAAGAACACCATTACAACATAATGAAACAAGTGAGGCCCCTGAACTGCTTCATTTAATTTATTTAGTGTGCTTACTACATCACATATTTGTGATTAAGAAACCCACTTACGCTGTATGTGAATTAGCTGCTTTGGCATCTTGTAGTCCCCAGGATAGAGGGAGTCGTAGTAGGTGATGTTGCTCTCCGCCTCGGGGACTGGGATGACCATGTTGTCCCGCTTCTCGCCATATACCTGCTGTGCAGAGATGGCCCGCTGGAGATGATGTTCCTGCAAACACAAAGATGGATATGAGACAATGTGGACCACTGAGGATGGATGTTCTCTTCCTACAGATTTGTATGGTTAAAAAGAGGCTGGACATTAATGCTGATTACTTCTCAGAATCTTGGGAACCTTTTTTATTTTTACATTCAGCAAGTAAGCAATGCTGTTTCCTTGAGTATAAAACTATTTGAAGTTCACATTATGGACGAAACTGTAAACATTTCCTAGTTCCAATGTTGTGGGCCAGGGATTTATTCTCCTTGGCAAATGCAAAATTACTAAAACATGACATCTACACTGCTAATCAAGTTGGAACACACTTATCCATTGAACTAAATGGCAAAGTGTGTCCACACTTTTGCCTGGTAATGTATATTTTTAGGCCTACCAGTGCAAAACAGCGGAGTAAGAAGAATTAAAAAAAAAAAAAAAAAAAAAAAAAAAAAAAAAAAAGAGTTCACCATTAACAAGGATGTCATCATTATGCATCGTTAAAAAAAAAAAAATGCTTTCCCATACAGCTACATACAGTAGCCGATGCTTCACAGACAGCCACTTTAATGGTGGGTTTGAGCCCAGACAAGATAAACTGCAGACAGCTGCTAGCTGATGTTGGCTCCTCAACAGGGACTGACTGAATAAAGTAGGATCCACAACTGTTCACTTGACTTCCATGGCCTCACATCTTGTAACTAGAGATGATATCTGTTCAGAGTAAACCCAGGAGGTCAGATCAGTGTGCCGAGTCTTTCTTCAGTCTGTCCCTCTTGTTAATGGGATCTCTAGGCCCGCTACAGGTTAACAGTCAGCTAATCATCCTGAGTCATGATAGTCCGTCAATTGTGGCATGTTCACGATCCGTCGTGACTCAATGTTGCTAATACACCCAGCTATCGCCTACACCATTTTTTTTACAAGTAATAACTCGCTTTCCACAAAGACATTTTACACAATGTGCAGTCCAAACTGAGCCGCTTACAACAAGTAACCTTTCTATACTTGTAACATTTAGAACAGTTGTACGTTTTTACTGAGAAGGAGCAAAATGCAAAGATCGATCTCAGGATTTCAAAAGTCGAACTGAACAAGAATTGCACTTAATCTGAAAGAAAAAAAAATCATACAAAACAGATGACTGAAAAAGGGAATGTTTAAAGTTGATAAGCCAGTCTAGAACTAGTTTGTGTCAAATCTAAGAAAAACAGGAATAAGAAAGGAAACACCAACTGGAGGTTTAGTAAATATTGGATACCGCTGGTCCTTAAAAAAAAAACAAGAGTAAAAGGTGAAACTTCACAACGGCTGCAGCAAGCTAAACAAAACATTTCCCAACTGAAAAATAATATCTGGTACACTGTCATTCTGAGGGGAAAACACAGTGACTCATGTAAACACGAGTCACATGTACACCTGCACACTGAGCTGCAGGGAAACTGACAATTATCCAGTTACACCATGAGTAACATTTGGCACCCAGACCTTATAAAAGTCTGTGAAAACAGGTGAAACAGAACCAAAATAACATCCACAGTGCCAGTCAAGGTTTTGTTGACTCTCATATTTAAATTTTAATATATGGGAATACACAAAGTCCAGCAACATCTGCAGTGTTTTGAGCATGAAGCCTTTGTCAGGGTCTGCTAAAAGCAGAGAGTTCTATAAACAATCCAAAATAAGACAAAAAAAAAAAAAAAATTCAGATGCATGTCAACATGCACATAGGTGGGCTAGATAAATGTTCATGGCGCCACAGGACAATCACATTCAAGGGTCAAATTTGATAGCGGAGCACCAGGTGTCTACAGCTCATACCACATCTGATCAATGTATAAGAAAATGCACATTCAGGGGCAGAGCCACAACATCCCCAACAGTCCAACCAATCCACAAAACACCATGGGCCTTCCCAAACACAAATGCAAAAGAGATCACAACCGCAAAAATAAATAAACCCTCAAAGTCACAAATCCAAAATGCCTTTTTTCCTAAAAAAGATTAGTGTTACCACCTCTTACGCTAGGCTTGGCTGCCTCCATGCCTGTGAAAAATAACGACATAGGGTGCTTTAACTCATTAAAATGTCTTGCAACAAGGTTAGCACTCCATGTTCAGTAATATGCTCTTTGGTAAATGGTCTTATACTTGTATAGCGCCTTTCTATGCTTTTACAGCACACTCAAAGCGCTTTCACATTATTTGGCCATTCACCCATTCGCACTCCCAAGCACTCGCGCATTCACACACCGGTGACATCACCGGGAGCAACTGGGGGTTCAGTGCCTTGCTCAAGGACACCTCGACATGTTGACTGGACAAGCCGGGATTTGAACCGCTAATCCTCCGGTTAGGAAACGACCCGCTCTACCTCCTGAGCCACAGCCGCCCCCTTTGAGCAAGATGCCTCCCCTATACATGCACACTTGTACATATGGGCATTGTATCATGTAAATAACATTAAGGTGTTAAAATCCTTGATATTAATCAATTTCCCATTAACTGGTTAAGACCATTTTGTGTATTGGCGGTTTTTGCAGGCCACAAGTGCGAGGACAGCCTGAAGCTGCCAAGCCTGCTGATGGGGAATGTGCCGGAAGGTAGGAAGACAAGCTGGATAGTGGGCTAACTGGTTTGCTGGCAGGCTGCTTGTCTAATAGTTCCAGTCAGTCGTAGTAGTAGAGCCTTTGGCCCAAAGCTGGGCACTGAGCCACTGGCAGGCAGCCTGTCAACAAAAGCATCTTGCAGCTCTCTGGAGACAAGTTGTGTGTTTAGTATTTTCAATGCAGTTGTCGCAGACATGAGGGTGGGTGGAGGAGCAGTCAAGGAATATTTGTGCCTAAGGAAAGTAGGCCGAGGGCATGAATGAGTCTTAATGCTTACATGAATAAGTGTGACGCCGTGTTAGGCCCACTGGTCTGTTGTGGTTGCAATTTACATGAAAAGAAACCAACTAAATTTTGTGTAGGTATTCTGTGTATTTTTATACAAATCAAACCTCTGCTTACTAGCCTAGATGATTCTTGAAGTGTGTTCTTCTCATTAGTGTTCCAGCTTGTTGATGACTTAATAAAATACTTAGACTATTCACCACCCAATTAAAAAAAAAAAAAAAAAAAAAAAAAGCCTGAAGCAACCCAGGGGGAATGGTCCCACAAGCAAACCATGGTGAATCGTCACACCTCTATGTTATCACAAAGCCACTGCACAGGAAGAAACCTTGCAGATACACTACATTTGCATAAACTGAACAGCTTCATTCCAATTCAGCCCTTGGTGTCAACATTGACAGAGCGACTGCAGTTTGAATTTGATTCTAAATTGCCTTACTCCCTGGGCTGACCCCAAAACTCAATCAGGCCAGAGCTTCTTTTTTCACAGGTAATGACAACCCTTCATACTGACTTTACTTCTGGCTATGTTTGTCCCGTATGCAAGCATCTGTCTAACATATGTGTACGGTCAGCTAGTCTGGCTATCTTTCCCATTGTGGAAGTGTTTCATAAAGGTTGAGGTTTTATTTGTCGCAACTTTCTATCAAAGTATATGTCAACTCCAAACAACATTTACTCACATAGTTTAATACGACTGGGGGTTGACACAAGTGCTTTACACAATAACATATTAAGAGTTAAAAACAGTCAAGACAAAAAGTGTCAGGGCACTACTGGGCAATAAAAGCCAAGGTAAATAAAGATATTTAGGTGGGTCTTAAATAGTGCCAGATCTGTAATAGCGCAACTGTCAGCTGGATGAGAGTTTTTATGAAACTCCTTGTTGTATAAATAAACCCTGACGAAAGCTTTATGCGAAATACCAGTCACCTATCCACTTTAAACACAACATAATGTTCCACTTCCAGGTCCAAACAGCAGAGCCCGTCATCCACTACACAATAACATTTGTTAGGCATCAATGGGAGTTAAAGAAAGAAAAGTCTTGATTGAAATTAAGAATAGTCATTGTGCTGTTTCACCTGGTGGCATAATAACCAAACTTTATTGCATGTAATAATACATTTATTCCAATATACAACCCATAGAGTTATGTCTAATTTATTATTTTTAATTGTTCCCTTTACCATTATGTTTATCTGATGTACAATGTTTGTTAACTTCATGCCAACTAGCTAGCTACATACAAAACAGCCAAACGGGGCACTTTTAGCCATTTCTTTTTCTCCTTCTCATCTCAAGATGAAGCAGTAAAATGACAGTGGACTGGTGATTTTGATTCAGATCTGTTGAAACAAACAATGGGGAAATCAACATTGTGGCATATTTATTTATTGCACAATGAGCATTCCTTTGTTGTTTACCACCCGTTTATACTGCTTATTTGGCATTGTTTGCACTGTTTGTTGCTGTTAATACTGCTTGTTTTGTTATACTAGCCTTATGTTGGTTTACTGTTTACTTGCCCCTTGCATGGGGATATGTACAGGCATTGAAAGCCAATGTACCAGAGTCAAATTCCTCGTGTGTCCGACACACCTGGCCAATAAAGCTGATTCTAAAAAGAAGAGAAGAACAAACAAACCCAAGTTTGGGCCTGGAAACAGAACGTTACGTCACCACTTAATGTGGATAGCTTTTTGGCATCCATCAATGTTCCAGTAGAGTCAAAAATATTACAATGCATGAATATCTTTAGTATAAAACATATGGTCACATCTGGCCATTGACAAATTCCTACTGCATCACTGGACATCTCGTCACTAACAAGGCACCATGCAGGTATCTCGGTCTCCACTCAAATATACTGCCATGCAGACTCAAGGAGGTAAATACATTTGTATGGGTCAGCCAAGTAGGTTAGTAGTAGCCCAACTATTTTAATCTGTTAATGCAAGACTGCACAAAACATTGTTGTGTGGTTCAGTACACACTACACAACTTCAGGTTGTTTAGATACTGCAAAGACTCCTATACACTGATTGCACTTTGTGAGAGCCCCACTGCCAAACACAGAGCCTCAATAACAATACACAGAAAAACCTTTCAATGTTAAAGATGCTCACAGAGGCATCGAAGAGAGAAGCAGCTGTTCTACTGCATTCTATTTTATATGGTTCCATATGTTCTCAGTCCTGCCTTATTTCAGACAATACTCTAAATGCAGAGTAGAAAAACAGCTTTTCTGTGTGGAGCTAGCACTGCAAGATGTGGGCAAATCATGACAAATTATTCCGAGATGAAATATAATCCCCCTTCACTCGACTTGAATTTACAGGTGGAATAATGAAGGGAACATTTATTACACAAAACAGCGTAGTTACACTCATAACGTGAGAGCAGCATATTGTCCAAAAATCATAAGACGCCTCGGAAATATTCGCATAAAAAGTCCAAACAAACAGCAGAGTCTTCGGCCCTTCTCACTGGCGAAGAAAAACACGTTTAAAATCCATTGAGAGTTCGGGCATGTAAACAAAAATAAAATAGTAGCTGCAATATCAAGAGAAGCGCACCACTCTGTCCCCTCGTGCCCTTACTAGATATACAAATGACTGTCCACAGTGTGGGAATAGATACTTTTAAACAGTGAATCACAATAATTATTTCTTCACAGTATAAAAACGTTGGGTTATTTCTCTATTTGCTACAGGCAAAATTAATCAGCTGTCACTCATTTCACAGAAAAAAAGAAAACTGTGCCAAAGAGGCAGAAAAGTAGAACTTTGTAATGTATGACCTTCAGTGTACCACCATGATGTTTGTAGTCATCTGTAACAAGCTTCAGTCAAGTATATTAAATCTTTTTTTATTGTGTCCCAGAACACAGTCCTACACCATTTGGAGTTTTGGGGCCCCAATATTTTACACAGGGTGTTGTGCCCCAGGCAAGTTTACAGTGTCATGTGCTCCATCAATGTAGTTGCTACTTTATGCAAAGAAGCTTCTATGGGCAGTTTTATTGTCAGAGCTTCCCTAAGACATTAACGTAGAGACCTCAAAACCCTTACACATCCAACCTATCCACAGCATTTGCGTTTAGCCCCTCTGCATGTGTACACTTGCATAAACTTAATGGTCCCATTTGATTCCCAATGAATCATTCCCCCTGGCGAATGCCTGAACCTCTGCACAATGAGGAAAAACTCATAAAAGCAAAACGCCTTAAGCAAAAACATCAGGTGTCAAACCTAATCAAGCTGTTTGTTTACTTTGCTGGTCAGGGCTATTTGCCTGAGAACAAATAAACTCAGACTGAGGTGAACAGTCAGAATACAGAGCATTAGCTGGTGCCCTCACACATACACACGCATGCACACTTTCCTACAGGTCTTTACACGCACACAAGAGTCCAGAAATAGCCTTGTGAAATGACCACATCGATCACTGTCAAGTCTGCTGAGGCAGCCAAAGCCTCCTCCACCTTCTCCAATATCGCCTGTGACAGCTACTGTCCCAGACACTGTAAATGCCGTTTAACATGATGGACAGCCGCAGGGGACGGTCTGGTAGGGCTGCTGAGGACTACATAGCTACAGTACAAGGCAGTTTTATTCACTGCATGTGAGAGGATGATTTTAAATACCCAGGAAGTGGGGGGTGGCGGCAGCAAGTTAACACCAGTCATTTAATATGTCTGGTAAATTAATACAGAAGCCATGTCTACAAGGCAAAGTAAGTTGGAGACTGAGTTTCAAAAGGTGTGAAAAACACACCCCTCTTCAGTCATTTCTGTGGGGGCCTGCGATCAACACAGCCAGCACCAGTACCTCAGGGGGGTCCAGCAAAGCAATGCAAACAGTGCGTTGAAAATGTTGGATCTCACTCAATTCTTTCTGCACCACACAGTGACATCAGATAGAAGGCTGCACTGACCAATCAGATATAGGGGCGGTAGATGCCCATGGGACGAAGACTTGTTTACCATGTTACTATGAACATTCACTGACGGCCACTCTCAAATTTGGGTAACAGTTACAAACGCACCATAATGACACACCGTAAGTTTTTATCAGTTGGGCTACTGGATGTTAACGGTGTTTTTTTTTTTTTAATTTATCAATGCTGACACACTGGTGGTAGAAACTCATGCAAACAGAGTAGGCTATATTACCAGCATGGCTAACCAAAACACAACAAACTCGCAGTCTGGAAATGTGAATAAAGCCATTCGCATTGTCTCGTCACAATGTATCCATACCATACATGCCTATGTGACACGCCCCCTGCAACCCCTCACCCCAACACCTACCAGTGAAGCCCCTTGCATTGGGGTTGCATTTTAATGCATTCAGTCTGAATGCCCACTAAGTTTTCTAGGGTCACATCATAACACAGTGAAACCAATTAATGACAAACAGGTACCTTTCACAGTCTCCCATTCATCATGCTGGTTTTAATACCCCACATACACATCAAGATAAAGCTTAACAGTGAAAGGAAGAGGTGGCAAACAGCTGACAATGGCAACTTTCAATTTCACAGCATGTACTGTAGGCTACAGAGAGTTTGCACAGGGTGAGATGCCCCACATTCCCACCCAGCAAGGTCACACTGTGAGAAACTGGTGTCCTGCCAGAATGTGTCTGAGTACAAGAACTGTGTCTGGCAAAAAGGCAAATACAACAGATGCCTGTGGGTTTCCACAAGGGCTGCAGACACTGACCTCACTTTCACCCAAACGTAAACACAAGACAAAGTGTCTGGCCCAAAACAAACAAGCCGCACGTGCTCAGGGAATTTCAGCAATGTCGACTCTTCAGTCAAGCCACACTACAGACACACTGCTAATAAATTACAAATACAAAACCACATGGTGGACTGAGGCAAGTCCATCAGCAACAGTGCTCACAAAATGCTCTAGATGAGCAGGGCTAAATACAGTATACAGACAGGCTCAACAGTTCAACAGCTCACTGTTAAAAGCCCTCTATTAACAGAGTCAGGAAGTACAGGGAAACCACACATTTACCCTGCACTGAACTTCAAGTGGATAGTGAGTGTGGCTGGGGTGGTGTCAAGCCAACATGTGAGGCTAGTACTTTTCTTAAGAACAACTTCACACTGCTATTCAAAATAAATTCCAAGTCTAAATAAAAAGTAAAATTAAGTCTTTGCTCACTGGTTCAAGTAGATCTTCAGAAACACCAGGAACTATTCCCTGTGCAGATGAACCGAGTACAGAACCAAGGATACAATTACCAGTGGTGCTCATAAAACTAAAAATACATGCACTTAAAGCACAACAACATATCGCCACAATAAAAACTGCAGACTGTAATAAAAAGCACGTGCTAGAGCATCTACCAATGATACAAAACAAATTTCCATCTAAACTCGGATGCAAAATTCATAACGGCTCCAAACAGAGTAGCTGGCATGCAGCAGGCCTTGGCCTACCTCTTATGATAATATGACTGTTACATAACCAAGCACTCCAGCTGAGCAGAGCACAGACTTTGAAGTGACAGCACAACCCCCCATCCCCGCAACCCCCCTCGATCTCCTTCTGAGCGCCACGCGCTGTTGGTCTGCCAGCCTGCTGTGCCATCTGACACACTGAACCCCTGACACCAAGCCTCAACAAAAGCAGGGAGGCAGACTGGCTGCAACGCTCGTTCAGTGAATAATAACAGTATCCGCTAAAAACCCCTGTAGTGAAATTGCACATTTACTTGCCCTTATATTTAAACATTAAATCAAGATCGCAAGGCCTTCGACAAAGCTGCACTGTCAGAGAAGCCAATACCCTGTCCTGTAAGGGCCTCGCTATGTCATACTGTTGTCTGACAAGTGGCATGGACAGAATGGAAGAACAGTAAAATCCCCATGGGGTGCATCCAGTTTACAAATAGCCCACTCCAGCCTACAGATAACCACAAAGCCCCTGTAGGATGCTACACAACCCAGAGAAGTAGACTTTATCTACTTGCCTCTGTTGTTGCTGCAGCTTTCAAATTTATCAATAAATAAATATATGTATATATATACACACACACAATAAGTGCTGGAGAATTTAATTTGTGGATGGGATTTAATGGTTTTATTTGAAAAATCAAGTGTCAGCACTGGTTATGCAAGGAGAAGCTTATCCCAGTCCTGATGTGGAAGGTCAAAGGCTAATAGAAATCTCTCCAGGTTAGTGGTCTAACATCAGAAGATTAAATAATATGCATGCCTGATATCTACACAAGCAGAATGGTTAATCCAAGGTGTTTACTGTTCAAATGATCTTGGTTGTTGAAATAACTGAACACACAGCATCCATAAAAATATACAGAAAGGGTTGTATCATATGCAAACAATTCCATTACATGACAAAGTGCTAACAGCACAACGTTTCCTACTTGTAATAAGATGCTCTATTGCATGTCAAAACAGACAATGCTGTAAGCAATTACACACGCACAAACATCCCCATAGCCCATCAAGATGCCCAAGGCTGACCCCCCCCGCCAAATGCACGGCAGCAGTGTTGACATTTGACTGGTGGTGCCACAGACGCCATATAATATGAAATCACTAGCTCCCCCTTGCCCCGGTCCTTGGCAACTACGCCAACACAAGGCCCCATCCTGACAGACGACACAAAATGTCGGATTGCTTGGGTCACATGACTCCTTTGTACTCAGAAAATCACCTCACGCATTAATAAACCTGTCAAACCGGGCAATTCTATCCAATAATGACACAATACATCCCTGCTGTTCCCAAACTGTCGTCCAAGTCCCACATATATGCCATTTGCAATAGAAATCCGTCGTGTTTCTCCTGAAAAAAATTGGCGGCCATTTTGTGAAAGCTTGCGCAGAAAAAAAGAGGGTCGCCTCCGATCATGTAGAAATAAAAAATAAACAAAAACATATTTTCACAAGTTAAAGCATACCGATTCCTCTTCCTTCTCCATCCCCGTAGGCATCTGTGGCACTGCCCGGTTAATAGATGCATATTCGTGTAGGTCCGGTAAATCCTCACAACGGAAGACGGGTAGTGGCTTGGAAGCGTCCAGCGCCCGTGCCCGAAACGACAATTTACTCATTTTTCACAATTCCAGATGCAATATAAATCTATCCGATCTCCTAATATTCACAGCGGTACCGAGTGGAGTTTTCATGGATGTTTCTGTGCTGTTAATCTCTATTCTAACGTTCGAATGGTTGTAGCTTGTATTAGGGCGTCGCCAACGGAGCCGGGGGAAGGCCCGGATCTTGGTCGCTCTCTCTCGGACCGTTTTTTTCCGACGCTCCGCTCCCTATCGCTGGTTCAGTGCGCCATGGACAACATGGCGGACATTTAAAACTCTTTTGCTGTGTTTCGCTCGTAGCGGTCCAACCCCCAGTTCGCGGACCAACCATTCCCACACGATCTCGAGCGCTTGCGCGTTGCGGGAATGGGGGGAAGGGGGCATTTTTTGCCAACTAACTCCTCTCCACACGTACACATACATTTTTAAAATAAACATTAGGCATGACTGAAATATTTCACTTTCGCAATATATAACTAGATAATGGATTACATATGAATGAAACCTCTAAATAAAATACAAAATAAACAATAAAAAGGAAATTAACAATACAAGCCAAAATAGATTAACCAATTCACAAATGAAGCAAATTGATTCACGTGCACAAAAAATTAATTAATTAATTGCTGACAGGAAATTTTATAAAACTTGCTGCATCGAAATAATGCATACTTATTAAAAATTTGGTATTGTTGACTGACAGTTACTGACTGTAGTACATATTTTAATATTTAATATCCACATCATATCCGCATTTGTTTTCACAAGACCTCACGAATCAGGAGAACTCGAAGCACATCTGTCCAATTTTATTCTGCTCTCTAACTTTTCCCTGGAGTAACATGAATATATATTACTTAAAATGGCTGTTGACTTAATAAATCAGACAGTATAACTACCCTAAAATGACAAAATGCCTCCAAACAACTCACAACTACCAGATTATTTTTAATCTGAACCTTTTTTTAATAAGCAAAACAATTTTAAAAAGTATCAAAAGTAAAATGCAACTAAACTCTTGATATATTTTAGGCACATGTCAAATACTACAGAAATAAATGCTGCTGTAAACTGACCTAAAAGAATTACTCAGATCCACTGATACTTAGCTATCACTGCTTACCTTATACCAACTCACAATTAATTTAAAACAACAACAAAACAAAAACATGTTTGTTCCAGGTGAAATGTTTAATGGCAATATGTCCACCATGTGAACAATGTCGCCCTCTTCTGCTCTGACTGGCATCTGACTCCCAAAACACCCATGTGTGTTTCTATTTAGTACAGGCACGCCACACCACTTTCAGATTATTTGTATCCAAAACAGTGCAATTCATTTAGTGTATATGTATTATTCAGTTTGGGTGAGTCCAGCAGAGACAAACCCTTAACCCTGACAATGACAGCATTGTGCTTACCTCACTGAAAAGCAGGCTGCAACTGCTTTGAGATTAGGTATGAACAGGACCTTATGGGTGTTTTTGGGCAGCATATTAAGCACAGACATACAGAATTTATCAAGGTTAGAGAAACATTTCACATTGATTAAAACACATTACCTGTTGGTGATATTGGGCTTAGCCAGGGTCTACCCAGGGAGGTTTTCTTATCATCATTAAATCCACTGACTGCATCATGACGGCCTGAGAGTCAACTGACAAGAGCAACAGAGACATTTAGTCAGAGGTGTGGGCTTTGTGACCGTCTACATGAACATAAAGCTTTTTCATCAAAGAAATATATAATGACAACAACTCTGTTACAGGAAAAAACTGTGGTCTCTTATTTGTGGATTAGAGAGGTTTAGAAAAGGGTTGGCTTGATGCCTCCCTGGTTGGCTAGGTAGAGCAAAGACAAAACATCTGTCCACCATCTAATTACAACTGTCAGCAGTGCTGCCTGGCATGGCCCTCCAACAACCACACCTGGCTGCGTAAAAGGTTCATGCCAAAAGGACACTTTTATGTAGTGAATACCTATTAGGTAACTTTATCCATCTCTGAACTGTGCAAGTGAAAGTTGCACTTTTGACTAAAATATCTCAACAATGGGATGGAATACCTTGAAATTCTGTGCAAATATTCATGTTCCTTAGAGGATGAATCTGGCTGAATATGATGATCCCATTCGCTTTCCTCCAGCGCCACCATGAGGTTGACATTTTTGGTTTTGTGTGAAATGTCTAAACTACTATTGGACAGACTGCTGTGAATTTTGGCACAGAGATCAAATCCTAATGACTGCAAGAATGCCTTGAGATTTCATTAGGCACCACCAGCAAGTCAAGGTTTTCAATTATCCAGTGAAATATTTTGACATCTACAAGACTGACACAAAAAAATAAATAAATGAGTGCAGACCTTCATATTTCACAGACAATACCTTGATCATGATTCAATCCCAGTTAGTTCAGTTTTCAGACTCCTTCATTTGTGTTGCTCATTGTATTTTAAATGGATAAAAGTGCCATTTTGCCCATGACTCTATACACTCAACCAAAAATGACAGAGTAAAAACATGTTTTCAGAATTTGGCAAGTTTAATATAAAGTAAAAGCTGAAACTCCTCATTTACAGAAGTATTCAGATCTTTAATCCAGTATTGGGTATAAGCCACTTGTGGCGTCGGCCCATCAGTATGGGTCAGCTCTGCCGAGCCAAGACGTGTGGTGGGGTCATTGTGAGCTGCTACCGAGTCAGTATGGTCGTGTTTCCACTGCACTGTAAAACACATTATTTCCCACATCTCGTTTGAGTGGGGGAGGCTCCAGTCCCTGAGAAGAAACATACAACTAATAGTGTCAGTACGGTGCTGCTGGTTTGCAACATGGAGCCCTTGGTGCTAGGCATCATTTTAACCCCTCAGAAGAAAAAGCGAGAGACTCCATTTCCAAATCTTGCTGCAATGAAATTAAAAAAAACAAAAAAAAAAAAAAAAAAAAAAAAACGCCAATCAGTGCTGAATGTAAGGATTTTCTCCTGCTGCAACATTTCAGCCAATCACGTCTTGATGAGCCAGACTTGTTGAAGGCAGAGCCCCAGCCTCAGGTTTCTGCACTCTGGAGCAGGTTTTCTTCAATGACTTCTCTGTACTTAGCTGCACTTATTCTTCCCTCGGTTGACCAATCTCCCTGTTTCCACTCTGAGAAGCCTCCTAATGATGTATTGCTGCCACCACCATGCTTCACGTAGGTATTAGCCACACTTAGAGTTTCATCAGAGTCTCATCAGACCGGAGAATTTTTTTTGCCTCATGCTCTCAGAGTCCCTTTAAAAGTGGATATGGGGGTCTTTCTGGCATGTTATCCCATCTCTGGACTGGACCTGTGAAGCATTGTTAGAGGGGCTGCTGGTTTCTTAGTCACCTCCCTGACCAAGAGAAATCCAGTGTTTTTCCACCACAGGTCTAAATACTCTGGTGAATGAGTAATTTCGGTTTCTTAATAAATACACCATCCATCCATCCATCCATCCATCCAACAAGTCAGACTTGTTTCCAGTGCATGTTGGACTCTGGCAGGGCTGCCCTTTGTCACCGGTTCTGTTCATTATTTTTATGGACAGAATTTCTAGGCGCAGCCAGGGGCCGTAGGGAGTCCGGTTTGGGGACCACAGGATCTCGTCTCTGCTTTTTGCAGACGACGTTGTCCTGTTGGCCCCATCAAACCAGGACTTCTAGCATGCACTGGGGCGGTTTGCAGCCGAGTGTGAAGCGGCTGGGATGAGAATCAGCACCTCCAGGACGCTGCCAGATTGTTCTAGACCCCAGCTCTGACTCTCCAGCATTTATACCTTGCCTGACTCTCTGTTTCTGACCTTGGATTACCGTTTTTTGACCACCGTGTTTTGTCTATGCCCTCCCAGATTCTGTTCGCCTGCAGTGTACCGACCTTCTGATTTTGTCCCCCTTGACCTCGAGTTTGGATCCCCTGGCTATACCTGTTTACTGGCACCAACCCTGGACTGTCTTATCGACCTGATTGATATCCTGGACTTTGTGTTAGTTGTTTTGCTTACAACAAGTAAAGAACTTGTCGCTACCTCGGTTCGTCTGGTTTTCTAATTGAGTTCACCACAACCTCTGTTTGGCATCTGTACACGCCAAACCTGACACTATGTCTCTCGGCTGGCCTGGGAACGCCTCGACATTCCCCCGGAGGAGCTGGAGGAAGTGTCTGGAGAGAGGGAAGTCTGGGCATCTTTGCTTACACTGCTGCCCCCGCGACCCGGTCCCGGATAAGCGGAAGAAAAAGGATGGATGGATGGATAAATACACAAAAGAAAAAAAAAAACCTTTTCACATCATTTTTGGTTATTCAGTGTAGAATGGTGGGCAAAAAAGGGAATTTTATCAATTACATTTTTTTAACTTTAATTACTTACAACACAATAATCTGTGCAAAAAAGTAAAAAGAGGGTCAGAACACTTTCTGAAGCAGCTGTATGTGCATGTTCCTATGTAATGCACCAACTATGATGTTTGCTTTAAAAACTTGCCTTCTCATTCAAGACTGAGGTTTTCCTTTTCAGTTACACTAATATTTAGCTGTATTGTAGTTGTTAAATTTCACAGTAATTCACAGAAAACTACCAACTATTATTTGGGGTGGAAAAGGTGAGCATTCACATCCGAGTCCGAGGTCAGGGTCTCAGCCCTGTGATTTTGCAAAAATGACAAGGACTGGGGTGACATTTTTTAGTCTTCCAAGTTATTGTTTGAGCTTCTTAGCAAAACACTAATGAACTATGAGTATATTTATACCTCACATGCTTTGTGCCAGTCTGCAAATAACCCATGTGGGTGGGGTTTGTCTGACAATAGGCTTCCCAGAGTTTATACAATCACGGGAAAGCTAATTCATTGTCATTTTCAGTTTTACAGCTTACCTGGCTAATCTTATTTTGTAAACCCCGGCCATCTGGTATTTGGAGCAGGCATTTATCAAGAACTACTGATACAACTACTGCTAGTCACCATGAGGCAGATCTAACCTTGGCTGGATTCAGGTCTCCTAAACCTCATGTTTACGGGGAGGCTAAATCACTCATAAAAGGTCTCTCCCCCGTTTTGAGTCCATGTAGAGAGAGGTGGGTGTTTTAGGAAGGTAGATACTAATGCACGGGACTGTGAGGGATACAGTATGATCCAGAACCGTGCAGGCCAGGGCCAGGCAGTTCCATGGTAGACCACGGGGGCTGCCTAGAGCACTATTCCACACACCCTAAGCCTATGAGCCAGCAGTGTTACATTTCCAACCATGATGATGATGATGAAAAACCGTCATATAAAATCTTGTCAGAATTGTATACGAGCCTGTAAACGGCTCTTCACCTCCGTGTTCTGCCGTTTTCTCGCCCCACTAGATTGGTAAGATTTCCGGCATGTTAATTTTGCCATTAATTTAAGAACTAGTGAACTAGGGTTTTTGTTTGTTTTATACAGTGAAAAGCATTTCCCTTGCCTAAATCTACGGACATCACAATCTTACTGGTTTCGAGATCCGACTAAGCGCTTACGAACTTGTGGTTTTAGTGCAGAATTGCATCCAGCTGACCAGCCAGGAATTTGATTGCGTGTATGAAATCATCTGATGCCAGAAACACCACTCACGATGGGCCTATTCAAGCACCCTTTGATACAAGTTAAAAACATTACAATAAAATACTCACCAGGTCGATCGTTCAGCACACGTCGGGAATTTAAAGCCAAATGAACTACATCTGTGCAAGTTTTCAAAAAAAAAAAAAAAAAAAGACCAGCCAGGAATTTGATTGCGTGTATGAAATCATCTGATGCCAGAAACACCACTCACGATGGGCCTATTCAAGCACCCTTTGATACAAGTTAAAAACATTACAATAAAATACTCACCAGGTCGATCGTTCAGCACACGTCGGGAATTTAAAGCCAAATGAACTACATCTGTGCAAGTTTAAAAAAAAAAAAAAAAAAAAAAAAAAAAACCCCCGGCCAACCCGAAGAAGCTAGCCACAGAGGGAGCCAACTAACATCAACGTTAGCCACTGCCACTTCTTCTAGTTGGTTTCATAACAGAAGGCAAACGCAGAACCGGTATCCTGGCGTGAGCAGCAACTGTCCTGTGTATACCAGTCCCAACACATAGCGTTTTTCGGTCGGAGAAAAGTCGGTATTTTCCTGTCGCTGTTAAAGCAATGAGAAACTAGAAAGGTGGAAACCAAAGTGCTACTGTTGGGGGTTAACAACTTTGCTGTAAAAGACGGCTTGTGATTGGACAGCAGAAGCCACCAATCACCTGTGGAGAGCTTCTGGGCCTGTGGCGTCACGTTCCACAGGGGATGGAGTGAAACGTGATTGGCTGACGATACACGATGAAGCCTGCGTTTATGGCTACATCTGTTTGTTTATTGGCTTTAGCTTCAGTTCAGACTTTTTCATTATATATATTTTTTCTTACAGTACTGTGCAAACGTTTTAGGCAGATATGCTTTAAAAATAAAGGCACAAATAGTCTGTATTTATCAATTAAAATATAAAGTGCAGTTAAACACAAAAGAAAAAACTCTAATCTGTACCACTCCCTGCCTTAAAATAGCACTCCATGGTGGAAAGTAACGAAGTGCTGAACTGTACTTTCATTTTCTGCTGCTCCATACTTTGAAATCATTGCACTACATACAGTAGTTACATTTCAGAATCAGATTAATAAAACAAAATACAGAATAACCAATACAAGTTTATTGATCCCTGGTGGGAAATTCACACAGTACTCAGCAGTAATTTTAATTATAAGCATATAAGGAAATTAAAGTTAGCTACACCTTTACCAGCTCCAACATTAAAGCGATGAACACAATAAGTCAATCATTAAAATCCAATAAAATGATATGCATTAATGTGAACTGTGCCATTCTGCATGAGCACCATCACATTTTGTACTTAAAGTACATTTTGATGCAAATACTTTTGTACAGTACTTTTACTTGAGTAATGTTTTGAATGCCGGACTTTTACTTGTGAGTTTTCTTATAATATGATACTGATACTCAGTGACCTAAAACTTTGCACAATACTGCAAAACATACTTCTCTAAGCTTTACTTTCTAGTGTGCTCCTGTTTTGCTTTCTTTAAAACATTTAACAAACTTTCTACAACACATCACTTGTAAACTGGGTTTTAAAAATGCATTTGACTCAGTTTACTGCGCTTACATTTATCAGGATTACCTAAAAGTGATGAATCAATAACCTGCTTTGTCTTTTGTCCTGAGTTCTATTGAGGGACAAGAGCAGATCATTTGTTCACATCGCAGCTCAGAATTTCCCTGGCAGGTTCATGCACAATAGTAAGACACTGTGACAGAGCAATGAATAAACAAGTTCACAAAATAGCAATATCACAAGATGTTAACAATATAGGGGTATTTTGTTTTAAAGATTTATTCAATAAATAATTTCAGAAATACAGAACTGCAAATGTGAATGTGTGGTAGGAATTTAAAAAAGGCACTTAAGCAACAGTGACGGGTAAAACCAAATGTTCTAGTGATCCAGAGATCATTCCCTTACCACTGGTCTATGTGACATCGTCACCATTCCTATTTCTTTTCAGTAAAAAAAAGTTTGATTGAAGCACCACTGAAGACGGGTAGAATTACTGACATGTAAAAAGAAAAAGAAGCCCTTTCTCAATCCATATACTACAAATAAAACAAGGGATTTCAATATAAGCAAGTTTAGCTCATAAGAATAAGGCAGGCTTGCATGTATTTGGTATCACTGTGAAAAATTGACCTGAGTTGGTTTTTAAATTAAGAAAGTAAAACCTGAAGTCAGACAGTAATTCTACTGTACACTGATGTCTTTTCATCTTTTCGTCTAGAAAGGCAGCCCAAGACAAAAATCTTTTCTAGACAAAGACATTTCAACTGATTGTTCATAGGGATTAAATCTCCAGAAAAAAAAAAAAAAAAAAAAAAAAAAAAAAAAAAAAAAAGACATACTGACACCTTCAGCCTTTCTCTGTGAATACATATATGGCTTTACACAGAACCCAAAAACAAACTGTACACAGTTCACTGCTGCCACACATGGCGCCAACTAGTGCTACAATTGAAGAGTTCAATCCAGAGGAACATTTAACAAGAAGTGACACCTACTCAGTCAAAATGATTACGGACATATGTGGCAAATCAATCTTAAGACCTCTGCTCACCTGCTTTTTTTGGTGAACACCGACTAACAGACTGACACCCACTCAACATGGTGTACATGTTGTTTTTTTTTTTTTTTTAAAGGAATCCCTTATTTGTGGCCCATTATTAACTTTTAATTCCACCTTCAACAAAGACACTGATGGCTTGATGGTTCTTTACCAGAGGTTTTCAACCAATGGTCCGTGGTCCCCTGGTGGTACGTGAAGGGATTTCAGGTCATCCCTGATCATGTATTCAATAATGTAGTTTCACTGTAGTAATCTTTTTTAATTTTTATGTTTTTCTTATTGCATGCAAATAATCAAATTCATGCAAATATATAAACATTTAGAAAAGCCAAAGTGACTTTCAAGATTAAAACAGTGGCCATCCGGTCTACCCACCCCACAATAGTGGTCCTAAGGTTACCTCTTAGTCAAAATGGTGGTGCCCGGGTCACAGTTAGTTGAAAACCCCTGTTCTATACAAACACACCACAGTTAGGCTTTGTTACTTTGCCAGTCCTGTGGCAAAAAAAAAAACTGTTCAAAACATTCTCTTCACTTCTGCAGAAGAAGACCTACATTTATACAGACTGTACACATTTGATGTAAAGAAAATAAACCAAAATTAGTGAAACAAACCAAAACAGTGGCAGAATACATTGCTATCGTTTGGTGGCTACAACAAAACAGTGAGTAAAATTAAACCCAGCCCTCCCTTCACTCCAGCCCATTTCCTTTTCCATACAGTGTTGTCACAGTGAAGGCAATGCTCCATCATTTGCCCTCATACTTTGGATTGACGACAGTTGTTACAGCACTTTTGTAGATTGGATTCTCACCCTGAAGGACAGGAGGCAAAAAACAAGTGCAAGTTAACCAGTTGTGAACTTTAAGTGAGAAATCAGGTTAATAAATCATATCACATTTCAAACCATTGTGTGGTGTCACACAGTCACCAGAACAATCAAGTGTTTAAGATTAAGTAAAGTAGTAGATTAGCATAAAAGAAAAGCCACCCAGAAGCACATGGCCACATTTCTTTCTTACTATTTGGCTTGAGGCAACAGCTTGGTCTGAGACGTTAGAGGTGGTTGGTTTTAGTTTTAAGTCAAATAATTATTTTAATAGATATTTCCTCAGCATTGTCGCCTCACAACAAGAAGGTTCCTGGTTTGAGCCCGGGCCAACTCAGGGCCTTTCTGTGGAGAGTATGCCTGCGTGGGGTGCTCCGGCTTCCTCCCACAGTCCAAAAACATGCAGCTTAGGTTTATTGGTGACTCTAAATTGCCCACAGAAGTGAGTGTGAGCGTGTGTGGTTGTTTGTCTATGTGTCAGCCCTGTGATAGAATGGCAACCTCTCGCCCAGTGTCAGTTGGGATAGGCTCCAGCCCCCTATGACTCTATTCAGGAATTAGCAGTATAGATAATGGATGGATGTATGGAATACTTTAGTAACAAACTGTTCACTTCAATACAACAAGGCACAACACTGGCACCTGTGGTTAACCATGCTAATTTCACAACATGCAGTCACCAAACCTGTCATTTCGTTGCAGGCCAACACAAAGTTTATCAAGATCTAAAACTGCACGCAGCAAAGATCACGCATGTACACAAGGCCAACGGGTGATACAAACTTGGACCTAAAGAGCAGCAGCTTTACTGCCGTAGCTGGGATTCTGGAAGTGGTTAATGGGGCTCTTGTAAATGGGATTCCCTTGCTAACATGGAGAAAGAGAGGGAAGATAAAAGGGAAAACAGAAGAAAAACAGAGAAGCAGTGGAAATGAAAGACAAAACGTCTGAGGGAGAATGTTCATAGCAGAAGAGGTTAGGAAGCAGCATCTACTGCTGTGATGCCAGTTTTTTGTCTTTTCCCGTTTTCACCTGCAATACATTAATAATATGTACTAGTAATTTTAAGTGCTACTCGGGTTTCTTTTGTGTTGTCGGTAATATTCAGTTTTTATTTTCTGTACATTGCATTTTGTTACATTGCAGTAGGACGCGTTTACTTCTTTTATCCTTCTGTAGTGTTTCAGTTTTGTTAGCAAAAAAACTTAAAATAGCTGAAGCATCCCTGGAACAAAGTGGAGGAAAGTATTCTTGATAAAAATAGAAGTAGATTACTCTAAAAAGAAAACAATATGCTCCTAGTAGCACAAGCTATACTATTGTCTGTGGAGACTCTCAGTGATTCAGTTCATGGTGTATCCTGTGTGCCGCTGTAACTGACACACAACAGCAAGCAGTCGTTGCTGTGCTTCACTGCCCTTTATGGGCATGCAGCTGTACCATGTGTACAGTGACAGGCAGCACTGCCAGCTAACATGAAGGCTGCACCCTCAGTGAATAAAGATTAAATAAAACAGTACAGTGCAGAGGTTGAGTGAGTATGTTGTTCTGATCAGGGACACTCGATCTCACTCTCAGAGTTCCATTTCTACACATTTTCCAGTTTAAAATTTTCACACATTTGACGCAGTACTGACATTTGCAGCCTCCACAAATGCTCTCAGAAAACGCACAATTCAGTCAATCCAGTGTGACCGACTTACCGTGTCCCACTTGGCGTTCATCTTCTCCTTCTCAAACTTGGCAAACTCTCGGCGGTCATGGATGATCATGAGCAGTTTCCAGATGAGCAGCAGGGCAAGGCCAATCAGCACAATGCCTGCTACCACACCTGTCACGATGGGTATGATGTCAGGTCCTGCTGGGCACTCTGAAACAGAGAAAATGCATAGAGACCTAATGAAATTTACTGCTGAAGTTAATAAAAGTTATCTTAAATTATTTTTTTTAAAAAGGCCATAGTGACAATGTCAGTCTTTGATAAATTGCACAGTTAAAGGTAATTATAAGAATTATAAGCTTCTCTTTCAGTTAAATATATAAAGCTATCATGCTCCATTAGGTTCACCTGTTAAAGGTACATTTGTAAAGAAGAGGAATAAACCAATCAATGTATCACATTTGACAGAAACTGTAACTTTGAACTATGCCATGTATTAAACTGTGCAATGATAGTATTAAAAAAAATCTTTTTAATGTTTCCCCATTTTCTCTTCTCCCCAGTCTAAAAACAAACATTTATCCAAAAACGTCCACGAGGAAGTTTTAACTTGCAAAAACTTAAAAGACCCGACTGTATGGTTTAAATATCACTTGTGCATCTTTGCCTCATACAACAATTTCATAAATCTGCATGCTTTACATCATCCAATACTTCTTTTCTTAGCTTGTAACACATCACTCATGTGCTTATGCAAAGACACAAACATAAGGGGGACCCACTAACAAAACACTGCTCTGTAGCACTACTAGCAGTCAAAATCAGTCAGGGTTCTTTCTGTTAAGATCTTTTAGACACTACTGGAATTAAAGTCGACTTCTAAAAGAATCTCTCAGTCAACCAAACAGCATCATACTCAACATACTAGAGGATGGGCAAGGTTTTCAATTTCTGATACTTTATTTATGCTCATGTTAGCAGTCCAATCTCACCCAGGTTCTCCACCACAAAAACCTCCTTGGTGTCATTCCTGATGGCATAGGTGTAGTAGAACCAGCAGTCATTGGCATCTCGCTCTTTGCAGTGAGTTAGTGGGAAGCTCTGGTCCGTGGGCTGAGGCAGCTTGTCACGATCCTTCACTTTGATCAGCTGGAAGTAGCTGCAGTCCCGCTCACATGTATCCTTCTTCTCACCGGCTTCAAAAGCTCGGCATTGCACACAATCTCTGAGGAGACAGATGGAAAGTAGATTCACTGTCCATGGTTGATTCTATTCAGTAGAGTACCAGCAGACATCAGCAGAAGGTAAAGAGACCAACTCACATCATTGTAACCAGTGAATAGTAATGTACTAAGTGTCTCTGCAGGTTGAAGAAAACTAAGGCATTGCTTTTAGAAACATCAAATTTAACTATACTGAATCAAAGGTATAGTGAATTTACAACATATCTACCAATCTATTGTTAATTGTAGAACAAAAGCTACCCTCAGGTTGCTAAATCCGACCAGCAAAAATGCACAATAGTCCTTGATTGTGGCTGCCGACCTTCCCTACATTAACAGAGCTTATGTATAAAACAAGTGGCTTAAACCTTAATATTACTGCAAATTTGCCCATCTGTAATATTCCGACACTATGGTCTCTCAGGAATTTCATGATCTCTGTGACCAGTGGGAACCCTACAGGTAACAAGAAACCTTCAGACTCACTTGTGCTCACTGCAGACGCCGGGGCAGGTGGGACAGATCTCGCAAGTTGGACCCTGGAATTTGGGGTTGGTGCATTTGCAGGTTCCACATTCACATGTACCGCGGCCATTACAGATCTGCTTGTTTGTGGCAATGCAGGGTGAGGTGTCCGTTGAGCAGTCGCAGGCACTACCTGTGTAGTTGGTATCACAGATGCACTTCCTGCATTCACATCGCCCATGTCCTGGTAAAGCACAGACAATGGCTAGGGTCACCACACTTCACAACAAAACCAGTGTTACTTTTTCAGATGATTTTATTTCTACAACACTCACCTCCACAGAGCTTGTTGTTGGAGCGGTCACAGTTGAAATTGTCACACTCGCAGTATTTTCCGCTGTAAACCTCTGCAGGATTCTCCCGTTTCTTGCACTCACATGTGCCACACACACAGTCACCATTGTTGCTGCAGATATCAGTACCGTTGTCTTTTCGGCAGTTTGCATCCAGGTCCTCTGTCCGGACTTCATCTTTGCTGCACTCGCAAAGACGTCCGATACGTCCCTCATTACACCTGACACATAAAACAGGAAGTTAAGCTATTAAGTAATAATGGGTGTCAATAAAGCTGAACATTAGGAGAATAAAAACAAGTCAAGAAGAGCCTGCTTACAAATTGGGAAACAAGGACTTCAGGTGAACAACACTAGTCTGAAACAGTGGGTGGAGAAAGTAAATAAAGATACTTTCTTCCCTTCTCCCTTTCTCTGAACCATGTACGACAGAAGCCCCACTTTTCATTCAGTTTATTGCTGCGCCTTTTAATAAGGAACTCTTATCTGGTTGAAGGTGTACAGCTGTGGCTAAACAACAATGAAAACCTATAGAAGCTCCACAGTTTATGGCTCAGCAGCACTTTCATGGTTTAATACTCACTTGCAGGAGCCACACTCGAATGTCCCGTTGCCATCGTGGCACTTCTTACTGTTGGGCTCTCCTTTTGCGGCACACTCGCAGTCACAGATGAAGTTCAGAACTACTTCCACCTCCTCAGTGAAACCCAGGGGTTTAATTTTAATAATCTCGGACTTGCCGTGCGATGGACACTTCTCAGATTTAACAGAAATCTCGAAAGACACCTTGAAAGAAGAGAAGAATTTACAGGGTCATTAAACCTGATTGGGGGATGGCTAAACTTGTCACTTTCCAGAATTCAGATTACAAGATTGTGAAGTGCTTTTCACTTCATGTTTTGTTGTTCAGTTCTTGTTTTGATGTTGGTTTTTAAATCTGTATTTTTGCAAAAGGCTGAAACACTGCAATCCCTGTGTTCCCCGTGAGTTACACTATTTTTTCAGCTTTTCAGTTGTACCATTTTCACACAAGCAAACACCCTGCAACACCAAGGATCTTTTCTACCTCATCACCAATGGAGATGTTGGAGCACTTCCTGCCATTGTCCCCTGTTCCCTGCACACCGTTCTTACAGAAAGACTTGTAGGTGATGGAAACCCCCTCTGGCAGCCTGCTGTTTTCCAGAATTACCTCAGATGACAAAGACTGTCCAAAAGAAAAAAGAAAAATAGGAGCTCAGATACTCACTAAAGGCACACACAAGGGCAGTTGGTCAATCATCCTTCAAACACAAGCATCTTCTCAATTGGAAACTCAGCTGCTACTGCTTCATAAAATATGTATTTTAAGGAGCTGCAAGGTTATGACACAGCTGACAGCTCTGGGTGATTTGTTAGGAAGGGGAGTATTCAGGTAACCTGAATGTTTGAAAGTATTAGGAGGCACTGGGTTAGGTTACCGCCTTCAGGTTTCAGTTTGACTGATTGTCTTCACAGGAGACTTACAAACGTATGGACTCTTGTGGTGCTCTTAATTTAGAGAATCATATAATTAAATCAGGGGGGAAAGACAGTAAAACATGTTCTCACCAGATCAACAGAAAAGTGTGTGAGAAGTGTAAGAATAAAAAAAATAAATCAAGTACATGTGAAGTTCTCTCTTAATATCAGGGACATGCCAGGGTCAGGCATTATGTGAAGACTGCAGTCTGACTCACATTGTAAGCATCAATAATGAGCTGGATCACATTGCTGGAGTTGGAGGACAATGTACCAACAGCTGACTTAGGAATAAGATTTTTCAACTCCTGTAAGAGACACAAAGTTTCGACATATATGAAAATAGCATGTTCTATTCAAATTACGTAATATAAATTAAAGGCCAACAAACATGTTCAGTCAAAGGCTAGTTAAACTGTTCAAGTACAATGTACAGAGAACATAGATTTACCTTGTAAACAGGCTGGAATTCTTCAGTGACGGCAAAGATGGTCTGGATGTTATGCTCACTGAGTTTCTGAACCAAATGGGCAATCGAAGGGTAGTCCTGTCAAAGGATTTGTGCAGAAGAATAATGCAGTCAGTTTCTAATACTATTATGAGTCTGGAGAGAAGAAACCCTCTGCCTCAATAAGACCATTGGGGAAAAAGGTGATGTGAAGATGACAACAGTGGATGGAGTATTAAATAAATGCTACACTACATACATAGTAGTGGCTCATGGTGTACACGTTGTTCTCCAGATGACACTTTCCATCATTGGGCAGGACGATGCCACCCAGTTTGCCATCTCCTGCAAAGTGGAAACCAGCGTCGGTGGAAAACACCAACAGACGAGTCACGTTCCTCCAGCCGATCTCCGCCTGGGAAAACCAAGAGCCCCTCATTGATATTTCACTCATTTAGAAAACACTCTTGACTTGAAACACAGCACGTATAATTTTCCTGATGGCTGATAAGAAAAACATCCACTAGAGAGCGCACAGTAAAAGGTTCTTACCTCACAGACTGCCACCTGCATGATGGCATCAAAGCCCCCCTCTGGAGAGTCCAGGTTTCCTGAAATCTGCTGCTGGCTGACCAGCCGATTAAACTCGTCTCCTTTGTCTGTCAGCTTCAGGACGTTCTTATAGCTGAAGGGGCTGGTACAGTTCTGATTCCCTGTGCAGGGGTTGATGAGCCTTGCTGGTGTTGTGCTGATGTAAGGCATGACTGTCTTCTCCACAAAGGAGCCAAATCCTAGAAGAGGGAAAAAAAATGTTTTACTCAGGGTTGAAACAGATATTTATTAACACTACATCTTTTCTGCTGGTGACAAGGTTTCCTTACCAATCCTGAAATCTGAGGTAATCGCCTGCATTTCCTTCATGAGGTCAGTGCCGAGGTTCTTCACTTTTTCCAAATCATCTTCCATGGAGTAGGAGAGATCCATAAGGTAATACAGGTCAATGGGGTAGTCCTCAGCACGCTTGAATTTCAGATTGAAAGTCTGGGGCTCACCTAAAAAAAAAAACAAACAAAAAAAAAACTGTACTTAAGGGTCAAGTAAAAACTAATTTATTTTCCATAATCTTCTCTTACAAAACACTGACAGCTTTGACTACAGAAGTTGAAAATTTACCAGATCTGAGTGTCAGTGTGAGTTTCTGGGGCTGAATCTGTGTGATCTGCTCAGCTTTCACTTTCTCAGCCACGTCCTTCTTGCGGTTGGTGACGGGCTTGTTCTTGTCGACGTGGAAGCTTCCACGTGGGTTCTCAGTGTTGATGAGAGGACAGTTTCTCTTCTTCAGGGACTCTAGATCATCACAGCGGGCTGACTTGGATTCTCCCACAGTGAGAAAGTTCTGTGAACAGCAAAAGAGGATTATTTTAAGAGAAATTTCTGATACATCGCAAACTCGCACCCTCATTATTGGTCCTAGGGCCTGAATTGTTTAATGACTCCTACGACAGCAAAAGATTGCCATTGCAAGGATCTAATCTGTGACATAACAGGTACCAAAATGATCCTACAAGGTTATCAGGCCAATCCTAAAGAATTTACCAAATGTATTCAAATCAGCCATGCAAACAGGAATTTGTATTTGGAAGACTGTCTTGAAAAACATGTTTACAACTTGCACAGTACATAATGACAAACATGTTACAAGGACAACAAGACTTCATGCTCCATATACCTATAAACTCAGTAAAGATCCTGATGTTGAAGATACCAGTTCTGTTTTGCTGTTATTTTAACTAATTAACAAACTCACTAATCTCTGGAGTCTGTTTTGCTACAGATAATTTTCAGTATATGTGACATGACCAGTATCAGATGGAATCTCAGATGATGTCAGTGTACCTCTCCAAAAAGTGAAAAATTCATTTTACATAAACCGTTTTTTTTTAGGTCATTGTTCATCAGCAGTGAGAGATGAGGAGAAACAGATGCCTGGGAGGCTTGGCCTTGAACACAGACTGGCTGCACAGGATATTCCACAGTGTTCTGCACCGTTTGTGGTGTGATTTTTGCGTGCTTTGTCTGAACATCAAATGGGGATTAAACCAACTGTAATTCACTGCTGAGGATGGTCCACCTTGTCTGGAAATAAAGACCACTAACTACACGTTACTGTGCCAAGACCTGCAGTCATGTTGAGATTTCATTCAGCATTCATCAGCTATCAGACTGTACAATACATCACTGCAGTGTTAAGACAGGTGAAATTATGAGGGACTATGCAATAGTCAACTATGGTGCAATACTCAAATCCTGGGGGTGAAATGTATTGTAAATATGAACATGTGTAAAATCTTGTCCTTGAGTTCTCTTGAATACTTTATATTGTCTTGTTTTAGGTATTTTTGAGTAGTTTTTCAGAGATCCTCATGACTGAAATACAGGTATTTCCCCTATTGCGGGATTAATTATGGGAGTAATATTCTTGTCCTTGATCTCTCTTGAATACTATATCTTGTCTTGTTCTTAGGTAATTTTGATTTGTTCTCAGGGATTAATCATTCTTCTTCTTGATTGTCTCTCAAATACTATATTCTGTTTGGTTTTAGGTACTTTGGAATTTGTTTCTCAAATTATGTGTGTGGTGTTTGTTCTTATGGTGTTTTGTTGCTGCTCTCTATTGCTGCTGGAACACAGGAATTTCCCTATTGTGGGATCAATAAAGTCCTTCCTACCTACCTACCTACCTAGAAAAGTACAGACATGATTGTACAGGAATGCAGCTCTGCCTTGACACGGGCCAAATCAACACAATCAGCCAATCCCAAGAAATAGTTGGACAGCATGACATGGAATCCTATAATATTTTGATTTGTTTGTGCAGTGATACAGGCCTACTTCAGCTGTGAATGAGTGAATAAATGGTTGATTTTGCCCTCATGCTCCCAAAAGTCAGTATTTTACAGTACTATGGTCTGCTTGCTCAGCAGGGTATCGCTGCCGTTGCACATAAAAAACATTTAATTGAACAAAATTTTTCAGCCCAAGCTGCAGACATGAGGCCATATTCCGTTGTGCAAAACAAGGGGTTTAAACATATGATAAATGTGCTTGAGCCACGCTATGATATCCCGTCGCGCACCCACTTCAGTGAAAAGATCGTCCCAAATATGTATGAGCAGGAAAAGTCTGCAGTTATGGCTGAACTGTCCCAGGCATCTTCTGTTGCCCTAACTACAGACGGGTGGACCTCCAGGGCAACGGAAAGCTACGTGACCGTTCATTACATCACAGCAGAATGGGAGATACGAAGCCCTGTACTGCAGACACGACCCATCTATGAGAGTCACACAGGCACAAATCTGGCGCACGTACTGACGGAAGCAGTGGCAGGGTGGAGGATAGCTAGGCCCAATACTAATATCCCAGTCACAACAGATAATGCCAAAAACCAAATAAATGCAGGGCTGGGCCCACTGATAGGGTGCTTTGCACATGCAAATAATTTAGCATCCCAAAAGGGAATCACTGTAAGTAAAGTGGACCGCCTACTTGGGAGGATAAGGAAGGTCGTTTCCTACTTCCACCAAAGCACAACAGCTGCTCATGTGCATAAGACCAAGCAAGAAATGCTACAGCTGCCTACTCATAAGCTCATACATGTCACAACAAGGTGGAATTCCACTTACGATATGTTGGAGCGTTATCTTGAGCAGCAGGCAGCTATATACTCTGCACTAACAAACAAAACCCTAAAGAAAAATGTCATAGACATAGTCACTTTGTCTGATGATGATGTTAAAGTGGCAGAGGAGGTTCTTCAGCTGCTCAAACGGCTCAAAATGGTTACAACTCTGTTGAGCAGTGAAACTGCACCGTCTGTGTCCGTGATCCTGCCTCTGAAAACAAAGCTCCTACAATCCATGGCACCAAGTGAGAAAGACAGCAACATCACAAGAGATGTCAAGACTGCCATTCTAGAGGACCTGAAGCCCAGATACACTTCAGCACAAGACTACCTTCACAGATGTACTGCACTTGATCCAAGGTTCAAGTCCCTATCTCACCTAGACCCTGCCCTACGCCTGAGGACATACAGTGATCTCACTACTGAGATTGTGAGATCACTGTATCTTTACCTCTTCAGTCTTTTCACTGAAGAGGTAAAGAAAATAAATATTTTGAAATATATATGATAATGTTTTATTCAAAGTTATTGCTACATTTTAATGTCTATGAAATATATTTTAAAAAATTGTTTTAATCAAATTTTTCTGCAGGGTCAAGATGCAGCACCAACAGCAGCAGACACACCTCCTCCTCAAAAGAAGTCGGCAATGGCGGAGCTTTTTGGCGACACCTTTGTACAGAAGGACATGGGCGGCAAGGCTTTTGCTGACACCATCAAAGAGGAGGTGGCATCCTATGAGGCAGCAAGTGGCATTCCAGTCGATGGTGATCCACTGGCATGGTGGAAAAGCAACGAATGTAAATACCCTCACCTTGCCATAATGGCAAGACGCCATCTTGCTGTGCCTGGCACTTCAGTGCCTAGTGAGAGGGTGTTCTCAACAGCAGGGGACATAGTTACAGCAAAGAGGTCTACACTCTCCCCAGAAAATGTAGACATGCTCATCTTTTTGAAAAAAAAAAAATGAAATAATAAACTCAGGTCTGCTTTGTTTTATTCTTTTTTGATGATGTGGACATAAACCATAGTTTTTATTTCACTCTCCATGTTCAAAGTAAGAAGCAAAACCTTAAATTGCATTTTAAGTTTTTGATTTTGTCCACAATAAGAAAATAATAATCATGCCCTATGCACCTTAATTTGTTTTTATATAATTGAGTGGAATGAGTCTTTAGTTGAATGTTTTTAATGGGCAGCAAAAAATTAACTTTGTCTTGTCTTTTTTCATTTTTTTACTGATCCGAAAATCGATCCGATCCGTGACTCAAAACCATGATCCGATCCAAACCGTGAGTTTTTTGATCCGTTGTACCACTACCTCAAATCTACCGCCATCATTCCTGTGCCAAAAAAGTCCTCTGTGTCCTGTCTAAACGAGTACCGGCCCATAGCTTTGACTCCCATCATTATGAAATCCTTTGAGAGGCTAGACATGCAGCACATCAGGACCCTCCTACCACCTAACTTAGATCCCCATCAAGCAGATCCACTGAAGACACGGTTTCCACTGCACTACACATTGCCCTAACACATCTAGAGCAAAAGAACGCATATGTCAGGATGTTATTCATTGAATTCAGCTCCGCATTCGCTGGACACACTAGGTTTTAGCAGACCTCTCTGCAACTGGATCCTGGACTTTCTCACAGGCAGACCACCGTGAGAATAGGAAAAAGAACTTCTAGTAACATCACACTGAGCACAGGTTCCCCTCAGGGCTGTGTGCTCAGCCCACTCCTGTTCACACTGATGACACATGACTGCACGACCGGGTTCAGCTCCAATCATATCATTACATTTGCAGACGATACTATAGTAGTGAATCTTCTGACCAACAATGACAACACACTGTATAGAAAAGAGGTGGAGCAGCTGACCAGGTGGTGTGATAACAACAATCTCTCCTTAAATGTGGAGAAAACCAAGGAGATTGTCTTGGACTTCAGGAGAGACAGCAGTGAACATCCACCTCTAACCATCAGTGCTTTTGAGATGGTTAACAGCACAAAGTTCCTTGGGGTGCACACTGCCGATGACACCACCTGGTCCATCAACGCCACTGTTCTCATCAAGAAAGCCCAGCAGTGATTTCACTTCCTGTGGAGACTGAAAAAGGCCAAATCCCATCCACAAATTATGACAACTTTTTACAATAGAAAGCATCCTGACATACTGCATCACCGTCTGGTACGGCAGCTGCACTGCTGCAGACAGAAAATATCATTGGCGCCTCTCTCCCTGCACTAGCAGACATTTACAAAGAGCAATGTGTTAGAAAAGTGATAAACATCATGATGAATCCCTCTCATCCATCTCACAATCTCTTTGTGCCCCTGCCCTCTGGTAGGAGACTTCAGAGCATTCGAGCTAGGTCATCCAGACTGTGTAACAGTTTCTTCCCTCAGGCCATCAGGGAAATGAATAGAATGCATAAGCTGCCCTCCATTCCTCTGGTTAGCACCAGGGCTTGAAGGAGATGAACAAATGCACATGCACTTATTCTAACTGTCTAACACTGGAATCAAGGTTTTTAGGCCTGCATTTTATAAAATACAGTGGGTACGGAAAGTATTCAGACCCCCTTAAATTTTTCACTCTGTTATATTGCAGCCATATGTTAAAATCATTTAAGTTCATTTTTTCCTCATTAATGTACACACAGCACCCCATATTGACAGAAAAACACAGAATTTGACATTTTTGCAGATTTATTAAAAAAGAAAAACTGAAATATCACATGGTCATAAGTATTCAGACCCCATGTTTGTCACTGTATTTTTAATGTGTGGATTGTTTTGTTCTGTTTTAAAAGGGTGACTGTTATAGAGTGTGAATGATGTGTATTGAGCATTATGATGAAGGGAGAACAGTATCTCGCTTTCATATATAATGAAAGTGTATGATGAAAGTGACAATACATTATTGAATTGAATTGTTTGCCATTTTGCACAAATGCTGCGACAAAAACCTCAGAGGAAACTGAAAATACCAGAGCCACAGTTTAAGATTCTCTGGATAACTTTTCATTCATGTGATAAAATAGTTCAGTGGCAGCTTTACCAATTCCACTCACTTCATCTGAGCACCACCCACACGCCTCAGAGAACTGGATGCATTCCCCACACGACTGAGCGTTTGCTTTGATGCAGATACTGCCATCTGAAAGAGACGACACAGCTTCTTTTAACCAAGATGACAAAACAGAATTTCAATTAGCTCACTAACTCAAACCAGCTTCACTTTTTGGCTGCAAAAAAAAAAACAACAACAACCCATTCACAAAAAACTGACACATGCTGAGAACAGCTCCAGGTAGATGACCGTGGATCCACACAGTCATAAAACCATGAATGATAAAACAAGCAAGGAAGCAAGTTTTAGTCCATTCCATCACTGTACTGCATTAAATCTTAAACTAAAGGAGGCAACATTTGCCCTAAAGCAGAAAGAAAGCTAATGGACAGAGCTAGTGCTGGGTATCAAACTCTGATACTTTTATGGTAGCGATCGAAATACTTCAATACCATCGAGTATCGAAAAATGCGTTTATACCTTTTTTTTTTTTTTTGGGATAGTGAAAAAAGTATCATTTAGGAACCAGTATCAAAGTCCAGATATTGGTATCAAAAATGCTGGAATGACACCCAGCCCTAGACAGAGCAAAGCATGATAAATCATGCATGTCTGAAGTTTAACAATGGTGGAGACATTACCAGAGCAAAAGACATACCACACTTTAAACTATCTACAGTGTTACATATTAGCTAGGAAACACACACACACACACACACACACACACCGAACAAGTGTAAGACACCTGTGTGTTCTTACCCTGCTGTGCCCTGTTGCCACAGAGAAGCGCTGATAACATTAGTATTGAAAGTAACCGCAGATCCATCTGTAACAAGAAAAATAAACGTGTTAAACGACAGACAAAGGCATACATTTGCCTATATAGGCTTGACATTTTACATGCATGATGTGTCCATTACTGGAAAAATAATGCACAGATCATTAGGGCAGTAATGTTCTACTCAAGCGACCCTGATCATTTTTGAGGCTGATGTGCAGTCAGACTCCTTTACCACTGTCAAAGTTCAGTGTTTATTTGTCATATGCACTTAGGAACCGTGTTTCCCTGTACAATGAAATTCTTACTTTGCCGTCCACATGAATGCCACAAAATACAAATGAAATATAAAGTAGATAACACAAAATCTAAGGCACTTTAAGCAGCAACAAATGCAGCAATATAATAAAAATATAACAGAGAATGTATGCTGCATGGGAGCAGCATGTGCAGTAGTCAACAGTCAATGTGCAATTATGCATGTGCAAACAGAATGTAAACAGTACATCACATATTTCCTGGTAATAAACTCCTCAGCTGTTTAGGAGTCTGATGGCGAGGGAAAGAAAGAGTTTTTCAGTCTAGAGGTCCTGCATTTCACACTTCTGAACCTCCGGCCAGAGGGTAGAGAAGTGAACAGTCCGTGCTGGGGGGGGGTGGGATCTTTGAGGATGGAGGCAGCTTTCCTAAGCACCCTGCGGGGGCAC